TAACCGGTTAGAATTACTATATTAATAATAATGATAATTATTATTATACGGAAAATATGTTACACAAAAAAAAGGCCCAGTTTCATTTTAATCTAATTTCATTATAAGCTGCCACAATAATTAATTAACACTTCCATATATTTTTTATTATACAACGTTTTAGAATCTGTAACATAACATGTACAACATATAGTCATAAAGTTTAAAGGTTTCTTCAATAGAATAATAGTACATGATCGCGTGAAACAAGTCATAAAGGTTTCTTCGATAGAATAATAGTACAAGAGTGCATGGAACGGATTTAAATTATATATAAATTTTTTTAAATAACGATAATTATAACTTGGCAATGTAATTAAACATGGTCCAAATTATTAAAAGCATGTTTTTTTTACATTTGTCAACATTTACCTTGAATTTTTAATTATAAATTTGATTAAATTTCTTTGGTTTCTTCGATTAGCATGTGTAACTATTTTCCGTATAATAATAATTATCATTATTATTAATATAGTAATTCTAACCGGTTAACTGTCCAATGTTCTTTTTTTATTTTATTTTGATGCATCATGGACATAACCGATTGAATCACTATTTCCCGTGTAACAGACCCATGAAAAAAAGATGAAATTAATATACGGTAGCCCATCAATTGGGATTAGAATCTTATCGATGATAAAATAAGAATTGTGTACACATTAGTTGGTGAAATCCCTACAACAAACACAATATTAAAATTACTTCTTTCCAAAGAAAAAAATGTAATCGATTGAAGGGTGGGTAATCGGCTAGATACTAACTCTCATACGTGATTTTTTAATAATTTAGTGATTTTTTATCAGTTTTGGTGACCCCCCAAAAAAAGTCTATAATCCAAAAAATTGACAAATCGTTCTAGAAATTAGTGTTCCTAACCGATAACTAAAAAATAAACTGTTTTAGAATCTTATTCATTTTTGGTAAATTCTCGGACTGTGTTTGAGTGTGACAGTGTTAAATATTCCGGAATAAAACTCCGGACATACTCCGGAGCATACGATGATCGTACCATACAGTACACCTATAAACCTCGTTGAGAAGCACCTAATATCTAAAATAGGGTTACTATTATAATTCGAAGCACAATGAAGAAAATAGTGACAATTTGTGATACTACTAGTAAGCGAAAGACCCAATTATTTATAAACCTCGTTGAGAAACACCTAATATCCAAAATAGAGTTGAAGCGCAATAAAGGAAAATAGTGCCAATTTGTGATACGGCGAGTAATCGAAAGACCAATTATTTTGTGATACGGCCAGTAATCGCAAACTTGCACACTGTTTACGGAATACGTTAACAATGATGACAACTGTCGTATTTGCGATTCTATAATTTATTCACTATAAATGGTGCGGCATTATGGTAAATTTAATATAAGATAATATATATATATACTAGGCGAAAATAGTTTAATAAAGCCATTTTCTTATTCACCTTTTTTAACGTAGTTTGCACTTTGTATCTATACATTCATTTTACATTGTTATATTTTTACTAATTTGCGCAAATGGCACATCTTTTCGTTTCGTCTGAGTCCGATTGTAATAATGATATCGAACGTAATGAATTAAGTGAGTTGAAAATTTTGGATAGCGGAGGATTCGGGACTGTTTATAGAGGAATATGGAATAAAGGAGAAATGAATGAACAAGAAATAGCTGCAAAATATATTATTCGTAAAAATACTCCGGAATCGGATAGAGATTTTGGTCGTGAGGTTTGTTAAAATAATTTCTAAAAGAGAGGTAAAGTTAATATAACTACCCAATATTTAAATATATTCATTTATAGATATATACCTTAAGAAAATCTGTGAACTGTAAGGAATATATTATCCAATTTTTTGGGTTATCCCGAGGTAAGTCTTACTGATGTAGTTTCATGAATCTTCCTATATGTACGTATGAGCAGTTAGTGGTCGATTTTAAGCGCAAAATTCGACCAATCGGATAATATGCGCAAATACCGGTAAAGATACCGATAGTTTCCTAATTCTAGTAAAGCGCAATACTTCAATAACTGTTTTATCTGGTATTTGTATTTATTGTTAACCGGTATTTGAAATTTTAAATCTAATATGCAAGTTCACTTGTATAAAAAATTATAAATGCCGGATAACGACAAACGCAAAATCCAGTAAATGGAAAACGCCGGATAATTACTACTACTACTACTACTACTACGTATCACGCTGATGCTGGTTTTTGAGTCTAGATTTGGAAATATAAACCCTATCGGTACTAAAATTTATTTAACTACAACAAAAAAAGTAAAAAAATGCATCCTACCCTAAAATCAGCATCAGCCGTGGCAAGTATAATACACTAGCCATGGCAAAAAGCAAGACATTCGTTTTTGATACTCCTGTACCAGGGATGATGATTTTATGCAATTCACATAAAACCGTATAAACCACATAATATAGTCGACAAAGCATAACAGGTTAAATTTGCCGCACAATGTTGCATAAAATATGGCATTATTAAGTAATTATCGCATAATTGGCTCTAAGTGCTGTTCTGAAAGGCTCCGAATAGAAAATCAACCAACCCAGATTACGAGCAAAGTTGAGAAAAAAATTGGGGAAGTTCCGAACTAATCCGAAAGACTAAGTTAGTTATAAAACCCTGCATATTATGTCATTTTATGTTCAAGACATAGCATAAAAAAAATTAAAAATCATATTCAGATTTTGTTCAGATTATTATTTTTTAAAATGAGCATTTTTCGTAATAAGAACCTATATAAAACCCTTTTAAATTCCTGAATATTTCCGCGAAAAAAATTATAACCAGGAAATCGGAAATATTCGGGAAATTTAGAATTATTCAGGAATTTAAAAAGGTTTTATATAGGTTCTTATTACGAAAATGCTCATTTTTAAAAATAATAATCTGAATATGGTTTTTAATTTTTTTTTTTACTCCCATATATTAATAAGAAAAAATATATGCGCATAAAATCATCGTCCCACCTACTATTTTGATATTGATCGATATGCAGATCCCAGTAAAAATAAGAAATTTCAAAACTTTGAGTGATGATATCTCTACAGCTATCTGCTTAAATCTAATAAAACCTTTTCTGTATGAATTCCATGGATTCATAGAATTCAAATAAAATTTTTCATCGGATTTAGCCAAGTGGTTGTCGAGATAACTCCGCTCAAAATTAGCGAAAAATCAAAACGCCTATCAATAGCTGCCGCGACAATCAAAAAATCAGGCCGGAATTACTCTAATGAAATCATAGCCGCCCATTAAGTGAAAATTACTCCTGGGCCAATTTTAGCATAATGCGGGCTTATTTTTTAAGAATTTCTATGTAATGAAAAAATTAAAAAGTTAGTTCCGGCCGGAAATTAGTAAACAATTTTGTAATGTGGGCTAAAATTTGAAGATTCTCAGCCGTTAGCCAATCAAAATCGAGGATCTGCCGGTCCAATTTGTTGCGGCAGCTATGGTTAATTATTTAGATAGGCGGTTTGATTTTTCTCTAATTTTGAGTGAAGATTTCTCAACAATCACTTGGCTAAATTCGATGAAAATTTTTTATTTGAATTCTATGAATCATAGAATTCAAATAGAAAAGGTTTTATTAGATTTAAGTAGATAATCGTTCACTCAAAGTTTTATAATTTCTTATTTTTACTGGGATACATGTCTATTAGTATCGTGCAGGAGTATCAAAAACGAATGTTTTGCGGATCTGATTGGCTGTGATCACATGCCAGTAATTTTGCCATGGCTAGTTTCACGGTTTACATAGCCTAATTGTGTTAAGTGGTATTAGTATCGAATATGTGTATTGTGGCCAAGCCCTGCAGCCACAATTGGTGGCGGAAGCTTATCTAGAACAGTAGTTATTTATTTGAATTGCGATACGGGGCCCTAACTGAATGAATATTGTTCAACAATCTGTACATACGTACATATGTGACTCCAATTTGTTAACTAGGGTACTTATTATTTCTTATTCTAAATGCAGAAAAAGGGCAATATATTTTTGTAATGCAATATGCAAATAACGGAAATTTACGAAGCTATCTTATCCGTAACAAACATAGCCTAGAATTGAATGATAAGATTGCTTTAAATGAAGCTATTCTCAAAGGATTGGACTTTTTGCATAAGAATGATATACTACATAGAGATTTGGTAAGCATATAATATTTCGATCTTAATATTAAGATACTAATGTTAACAACTTTTATTATGCAATTTTATAATATCATAGCATTCAAAAAATGTTTTAATTCATAATGGCAAGGCACTTTTGGGTGATTTTGGTCTATCAAAGTATCTTTTTGAGACAAATGATGGTCACATATCTGAAATTCGGGGTGTTCAGGCTTATGTTGATCCAAAATTGCTAGACAAAAAATCAAAATCAGATCATACGCCTGCAGATACGAATGCGGTCGATATTAAATCCAAACTTGTGAAAGAATCCGATGTCGATGTTAACTTAAATTCAGATTATACGCATTCCATAGAATCTCATATTGATACTAAATCCAGGTCAAATTATACGCATACGAAAGAATCAGATATTTATAGTTACGGTGTGCTCATGTGGGAGATATACACTTGTCGTCCACCATTTCAAGATAGAGGCGGTAATACTTTAACTTTGGCTATTTGCTTGGGCGAGAGAGAAAGACACGAAATTGGAATGCCTTTGGATTATATAAAAATTTATGAAAAGTGTTGGGATCAAGATCCTTCATTTAGACCTGGGATTTCTAAGATATTGGACGATCTTAAAATTATTAAACCAAGCCCGACTTATCAGGAATATAATGATGCCTTATTTATAGGTTAGCGAAATTTAACAATATGGGCTAGGTGCTGTGAAAAGGGACGAGATTGACAATTTTTTCAAAAGATGTTTTTTTTTTTACATAAATCAATTTAAAATAATATTAGGAACATTTTCACTTAAGACACAAAAGTATATGTGTTAATAAAATTTTGCAATATAGCTTCTTAAAGTTTGTATTTTCTTATGATTTATTAGATTTTCTGAAGATCTTTGTTTTTGTCAATTTCGTCCCTTTTCGCAGCACCTAGCCCATATATGAATAGCTGACATTGTTTTTTGACTTACATTGTATTGTATATTTGTATATTGTACAGAACCATTAAGCTATGTCGAACAATTTGACTCAACGATTGTAGAAGAGCTTACACAAAATTACGATGAAGTAGATTGTGATAATCTCCAAATACCAGTAAGCTTGGAAATATCTGTCAATTTCGACACGTTTGCATCTCCTATCAAAGAAGCTCACAATCTTTTTGAAGAAATTAAGAAATCTTATGATAATGCACAGCTTAACATAAGAATCTGTGGAGTATTAATTAAATGCATCAACTCAGCTGAATGTGATGTGAACAATCTCCAAATTGATAAGAGAAACCATACTTCTTTCGCAACGTTGGAGAATTATAGGCTGTTTCAATTATTTCTCCAAAATATTAGAAAAATTAGAGATTTTATTAAAAATGTCTCTAATATTAAAGGATTAAAAAATTATATTCAAAAGACTAATTATGGATTTTCGTTAGGACTACTGAAAGATGAATTTTACCAATTATTAGATGAACTTAAAAAATCAATATCATCTCTCAAGTTTAAAATTGATATTGAAGAACAAATTAACGATATATTCAATTATGATATCGAAGAAACAACAAAGGTTTTTTTTTTTTTAACACTATTGATCTCATTGTTAAAATCTTAATTTTAAAACATTATATATCATTTTCTAGTTTATTCATGCTTTTCGATACAATTTTGATAACAATCTTTATACTATGTTTAAAGCTATTGAAGAGACAAGTGCACGACTTATTGCTAAGCAGAAATTTTCTGATGCAGAACTTCTTGATTGTTTAATTCAAGAGGTCGACAGTTTTGACACTATGAACCTAAAACGTTACAGCTCGAATCAAAAAGACACATTGTGTATTCATGCAGCGCTTTTTAAAAATTTAGAAAATTCAGTAAACATAATTAAGTTTTATGGAATTTTACATGATCCTTTATCTGGATCAATGTGTTTAGTCACAGAAAAAGCGGAATATGGTAATTTAAAAGAATATTACACAAATTACAAACATATAGACCCCTCAACAAATCTAAAAATCGCGTTAGGCATATGTAATGGATTAGTCTTTTTAAATGCTGTGAACTTTTTACATCGCGATATTAGATCCGAAAATATTCTAATTACAAGTAGTCTTGATGCTAAGATTACAAACTTTTATCATAGCCGATTAAATTCGGTTGATTCCGAAAATCTTCAAATTGGCCGAGATAGGATAAAGACCATAGCGCCAGAAATATTAAGTCGACAACATCATTCGGTTTGCAAGTATGATTTTAGGAGTGAAATTTATAGGTACATATGTAGGTTATATAATAATATTAATACAATCAGACTCTGTGATTATCAACACTTCTGAATTAAATTATGTTAATAATGACAAAGGTTGACTGTATTCAAAATTATATGAGGTGAATCAGTTAAACTTTTTTTAATAAAAGTTTTTTAGAACTTTGAGCAAAGATATCCCAAAATAAGCATAAAAAAATTTTTTTTCTACAAATTATAAGATTTTTTTATTAGGTTGAACATGTTATCTTTGTTTAAGTTGCAAATTTTTATTAAAAAATTCAAGTATCCCTATCGTATTCTTCCTTAATTAAATTATATATCATCTTATCAAATAATTAGTTTTGGAATTATTCTCTGGGAAATTTTAGATAGAAAAAATCCATATGATGTTTACGGTGACGATATTTATGCAATAAAGGATGCAATCCTTAATAATAAGCGAATATCATGGAATTTTAATAATTGCATGCCATCAAAATACATAGACATGATGAAGCAAGGTAAATTGTAAATTTATTCTTTTGGCAACAGTGTACGGGATAATATTGAATGCCTGAGAGTTTATTTTCTTTTTTTTAACTCTTGATTTTGAGCCAGATAATCGTCCCACTATCTGCGAAATGTTTAAAGTTTTGTATGATATAGTAAATAATCCAGAGAACAGTCAATCATGCGTAAACTCATCCAAAAGTGACTTTTCTCAATGTAACTTTTCATCTATAGAAGATGCAGTAAAGGAGGCAAGGAAAAAAGGTGGAAATCAGCAGAAAGCGCTAGAATACATTAAAATGCTTTCCGAAATCGGTGACACTAAAGCAAGTTATTATAGAGGTTATTTTTTACAACAAAATCTTAATAATGGACCTAAGTTATCTAAATATGAATACAAAAAATGTCAGAAAGAAATTGCCCGTCTTTTTAAATCTGCATCAGACGCAAATTTTAATATTGCACATATATTTTACGATGGTGTTGAAAAAGATTTAATACACGCCATAGACCTTTTTAAAAAGGCTGCTCATTATGATAGTAGTGATAGTAGCATTTATGCAAAATTCCGTTTAGGTACTATATATCGTGATGGTTTGGCGGGGATGGAATACATAGAAGAAGGAACGCATTATTTAAAGCTTGCTGCTTGGGGAAATTATGAAAAGGCTATTGATGCCTGTAAAAAATATAATATCAGATATTAGCTATTAGCGTGGAGTGAAGTAGATGGCAGAATCATCAAGATACTCAAATGCAATTCCTTAGCGAATAATCATTTTTTAAGAATTTCATTTGTCCGTTAATGAGTTGCAAGAAAAACTGTTGAGAAGGCGATAAGTATTTTAACATTAATCATGGCAAAAACGAGATGTCTAGCCATGTGATACTGAAGCTTGGACCCAAATTTCCAGGTTAGGCCGATTGATTCGAGTCTTAAATTACTGGCAAAATTCGAATGCGATATTGAGAAAAATAGGGGAATCCTACCGCTATAGTAAACTCGATTCCATTAGTAGAACTTCGATCTCCGACCCGGATCTTCCTTTATGGATTAGTGTCTAGGTTAAAAAAAAAACCTATGAACCGAAAGCTAGTTCAATAGGATATCTTTAGATATTCGTAGAAATTCAGGTTCTATTAGTTTCAAACCTTTATTGATAATCTATACCCTTTAATTTAATTGGTATTATGCAAAAGCGATAATTTTATTGTTTAATTATTTTTTTTATTAATATCCAGAATAGAAATATAGTACATTGGATCAGTGTTTCGGCCTAAACCTCCCCCAAAGTCCGAAACGTTTCGGCCCTGGAGTTTCAGTTCCGCCCAATTTCAGAGGTTTCGGCCAGTTCGCCTAGTGTCGGATGTAACTTTATACTTATTTATGCATGCGTTTTTCACATGATCCGAAATTTTTCGTATTTTATTGGCTATTTGTTTCGGAAGTATTTGAAGTTTAGCCCGTTTCGGAGGTTTCGCCCATTTCAGAGGTTTTGCCCAGTTTCGGAGGTTTCGCCCAGTTTCGGAATTTTCGGACTTCTGGAGAAACTATATTTCGGAAGTTTCGGAGGTTTCGGCCGGCCGAAAGTTTCGGTTTAGGCATTGGATACACCTTGAGTAATTGCGCACTACTTTTTTCAAAAATATTTAAGTTTCTCAATTAAATTCAATTCAAATTATGTATAATCTTTTTATAAGCTTTATGTATCTAGAACAATTAAATATTTATTTTATAAGTTTGATAAAGAATCAAATAAATATCCTAATATGAAAATTCTACTGTTATGAGCTTATATTATTGATCATTACAACTTATAAAAAAAGCATACAGAGATTTTATTAACATTGTATTTATATCAAGCAATTTTTAAATTAATAATTTTATTCTATTCAATCTAAATTCTTCAAGATATTGAATTTTTTTAAAAAAATTTTCTTGGTCCATCCCCTTCTTTTGCTGTGGTGGCCCATATAATGAATATCGATATGTGCCCAATAGTATTGCTTGCTGCAAATATGAAGTGCGACTTTTTATTGCGCCACTAGGGTTGCTACTTATAGTCACAATAGAATGTGGCATCGGTAATATAATATTTGTGACTTATTTTGTAATAATTACAACATAAATAAGCTGTAAATATTAAGTTGCGACGTTGCAACAGGCAACACTATCAAAATTAAAATGAGACAAGCGAAAGAATAAGGTTAGGTTTGTCACAAAAAAATAAAATATAATAATAGGGTAAGTATGAAATAATAATGGTGATCAAAAATAACATTTCGACATATGAAAATATTTCAGCATCCGAAATTATTTATGGTTTAGGCTGCCTAAAATATTTTCAGCAATTTTTATTTTCGGTAAGCCAAAAATAATTTATATACTCTAAAGTTTAATACCCCCTATCCAAACAAATATCAAATCACGTGCGTGTGGTACTTTTCGATTTTATCTAATTCATCTGTTTTTATTTTTAGTTAATAGCCAAAATAAATTTCTAGCTCCGGACATTGTGAAGGGTAAATTATGGTTGCGATGAATTTTTTCGTACATGGTAGATTAGATTTAGTAAAAACTGGTTAGTGCAAACGAATATCCTTACCTTAAATGGGATAATCGTAAACATTTAGATATTTTGAATATTCAAAAAGTTCAGAATATTCAAAAAGTTCGATATAATGAATATAATGAATATTCTGAATATTTTAAGAGTGTTAAAATATTAAGAATATTCAGAATGGTGGATATAATGAATATTTTGAATATATGAAGTCATAGATAAAAATAGTAAACACGATGCAATTGAAATAGCGCAAAAGCTATAAAAGCACTTGCTTTTCATTTCAATAAAAGATAATTTTTACTCAATTAAGAATCTGTTATCCTGATTTTTGTTCTACTAATTACCCCTGATAAGTCAAGTTCGCATACTAATTCTGTGAACCTGAATTAGAGCTTCATGACATAGTACTGTATTCCTCCAAAAATAAGCACCCCTCAGAGAATTTTTATCCTTTAATCTGTATGTAAATTCAGGGCAAATTTGTCTCGAATTTTGTAAAATAATTTTAAATTAGGCCATACAAACTTAATAAATCGGTTCTCATAACATAAAATTTTTAAAAATGACCCGGCAACCCGGCTTTTAATTTTATTTTCAAAAAATTTTATATATAAAAAACATATAAAATTTTTTTAGATTTTTTTTAAAAAACTGGATAGTAAGTATACTTGAAATTTTTTTTTAGAGTTTTGGAAATTTTGACCCGGCCAGGTTATGAGAACCGATTTATTAAGTTTGTATGGCCTAAGATCTAAAACAATAAAAAATTTCTAATAGCTAGATTCAATAAGTTTCTAAGTTTGTCTATCAGAAATTTTTTATTGTCTTAAAATTTATTAAAGCAGCTGTAACTTTTCTAAAAGTTACTTAGCCAATAATGAAAAGCAATTTTATTTGTTTGTATAGTCTAATACTATATAAAAATTAATGCTTTGTAGTTTTGGGGTTTTAGATAATGTTTCGGATTTCAAATAAGGTTTTAGAGTTTTAGATAAGGTTTCAAAAGCTATAATCTAAACCTGAAACTTTCAGATTTTAGTACAAAGAGTTTCAGAGCCAACTCTAATATACACACATATAGAGTAAAGTTAATAGAAAAGGAATAAATTTTTTTTAAATAAAAGGTTTCTCGACTTTAAGCTTAAATATCTTAGCAATTATTTTATTAAATTTAATAATTTTTTTATTATTTCAATTTTTTATAATTTCAAATTATAATAAAAAAATTTTAAGCAAATTTGATTAATCAGTTGTTAAGATATTTTAAATTAAAAATTAAAAAATTTTTTTTAAAAAACAATTTGTCTCTTTTCTATTAACTCTACCCCATATATTGATATCTCAAAATTCTAATTATATAATAGCTTTTGGAACTTTAACAAAAATTATTCTTTGTAAAATTTTAGTATAAACTATAACTTTATCTAACTCTAAAGCTACTCTCACTCTAATCTAATTTTTTATTTATAATTTATATATTAAGCAAATTTGTAAATTAATAATTAGTGAATATATATATACCTGGTGTAAATTAAGAAAATTTTCTTATATATAACTTGGTTTAATAGTTTTAATTACTATTTCTAATTTTATATATATATTTTTTTAAAAACTTCACTTTTTTACAAGTTTTTTTAGAGCAAAGCTACAATTTAAAATTTACTAGTAATTTTATAGTAAAAATACTTTCAAAAATGTACTATATATTGTATAATAAAATTGTTAAAAAATTAAAGTTTGTTAAAAATTTTTTCAATAATTTTATTATAATATTAAAATAAAATAAAACTATAGTATAGCAATTATCAGATTTTTGTATATAAATATTATTTAAATATATAATTTTTTAGATTTTTAAAATATATTACTAGTAGTACAAAAGATAAACTAATATCTATTAATAATAGTAACCAACTATATTATATTAAAAATAGTATTTGAGCAATTTTGTTTAGTATATAGATTGCTGAATAATTATTAATTTTAGTCCAAAATTTGGTTAATTTGCTAAATTTTAATTGTATAGCTAATTTATTCTGATTTACAACATATTGAACTATTTGTATTATGAATTAATTTGAGTTATTTTATAATAAGTAAAATTGTATATTAATTTTAAAATAAATATAACTTTAGAAATAATACATCACATATATATATTATTTAATTTATATTACTTTTTGTAATATAACTAAAATATGCTAATACTTTGCTATAATGTTAAATATCTAATCACTTAATTCAAATTCAAATCTTTGATATTTAATTTTATTTAATTTTATTTTATTTTATTTTTTTTGGTAAGGCCTTGCTCATATCTTTATTGATTAATTTATATATAATTACATATTAACTATACAAAAACTTAATTTGTATAATGACAAATAATATAAATTATATTCAAGAATAAAAGCTTAGACTAAAAGCTTAAACTAAAAGCTCAAACTAATTATCTGTGATCTA